CCCCCCCCCCCCTTGTGAGTTTTTCCCTTTCCTTCTTAATCTCAGGAAAAGCACTTTGTGCTTTACCAGGAGCAGCCCAGCAGCCACTCAGCTATGGGTTCTCCTTTTCTCACGGCGTGCTGAGCAGCCTCTGCCACCTCGATGGCTCTGTTGCAGTCAGCACCGTACAAATAGAGGGTTAGAGGTGATTCTTGCCCTGCAGATCACATGAGCTAAGCTTTCGGGAAGGAGGTGGCATTGTTGAATTCCCAATCCTTGTTTTACAAAGAGGTGACCGAGATGATAATATTAAACCCTTTTACCAGGCATGCGGAGGCACAGGGTTGAGGGCTGGTTCCTTGGCTCAGGGCAGAGCCTTCTCCCAGGCGTGGACTGGCTGAGGGGTGCAACAGGGCTGCAACATGAAGGATGACCTCTTGGCTACAGCTAACCACCGAGGCAACACCTGTATCAACAGCATGGCCTGAGGACTCAGCTCAAGCAGAGGAAAAGAAGATTTAAGTCCCTCAGTCTGAGGGTCTGTCATCCCTGCTGTAGACTGTGACCGTGCAGGCACGCCTCTATCATTCAAAGCCTCAAGATTCACTAGCAACCCTCCCTTTGGTGCTACAAACCGCAGGATTTAGTCCCTGTTGACCAACATGAGGACACATTTCTCCAGGGGGGTGGCATGGCCTCACAGAAGACCTAGTTCTTCCTTCACTCTGGCAGAAATGCGTGTTTTCCAAAGAGCATGAAAGCTCACCTCCTCCTAAAACTTGTATTTTAGAAGAGCTGGACTTGGTACTCAAGTATTTTGCAAGATTGCATTGACAAATGCCTTTTTAAAATTCAAAGCTGAGCCCACCCGAAGAGTGAGTGAAAATCTTCACATTTCTTTGGGTTGCTTGATAAGCAGAAATGTTTTTACAAAGCCAGGAAAGAAGAACTCCTGGGATTTTCTCAAGATCTTTGCAAATATTTGTGCTGGTCCCACCAGGGCAGAGCTGTGCGTGAATGTGGAGGAATAAGTGGAGTGTGCAGAGCTGCTCGCAGCCCTGCTCCTGGGATCAGTTTTACATTGATCTTCCAGGGATGGGAAAATCCAGTGTCTGGAGAAGGGAAGAAGCTGAACCTCACAAGAAGCTGCAAGGAATCCCCCAGAACGGCCGTCCCTGTCCTTGTCCAGAGAAAACAACCTAAAGATTGTGCATTGTGATTTTATACCTCGGGGTATAAACCCTCCAGGAGGGAGTGAATGAGCTGGGAGAAGGTGTGGGCTGGTCAAGCCCCTCTCCACCTCCAGCATCCCTGCACTTGGTCTCCCTGCGAGCTCCACGCAAGCACCGCAAGCAGCAAAGGAGTGATGGCCACCCCTCCACTGTAACGTTCCAGCTTTTTTGGCTCCATCAGCCTAACCTTAGCTTTGTGCCCTCCTTCCACCTGCACTCCCAGGGCTCTGAGGACATCCGCTGGGCACCGACTGCCTCCTAACCCCATGTACACGGGTGCTTTTCCATCATTCACCCCCTCCTGATCTACCTGCTTGTGCTGTCAGAAGGGGCCAAACTGACTCAAGGAGAATGATTTTAATTGAAATTACTGTCTCCTGTGCTCACCCTAAGTGCTGGTCTTGAATGGCCAGTGTTGTGCACCACTGGCCACCAGCCAGGGCTAGCTGGTAGTTCTGTCTATAGCCTGATGTGTTTGCAGATGCCCAGTGGGAGAGTCTTGGTCCAACTGAAGGAAAATAGCTATGCTATTTTTTCCTGACAGTAGCACATAGGGATGGAAGAATGAGGGCAATGCAATAAATGACCCATCTAGGCATCAAAGGCCTTGCTGGGGATGAGGCTGGGACACACTGCGATGGGATCCATCACACTGGTGCTACAGCCTTGGAGAAAATCGGCAGCGGGGGCCCAGAGAAGCGTGTGGCAATGCCTGGTCACGCTGCTATCGCTGGGGGCCAGATGTTAGGACCAGCAGGGATCCAGCAGCAGGTCATGATGCTTTTGGATCCCAACTCCAAATCTGTGCACAATCCCCTGGCGCCGCAGGCAGAGTGTGCGGCTTGCCTGGCCACATTTTCCCTGGATGGAGGCACTCAGGAAACGCAGCTCCCGCCCACCCTCTCCCTCAGCACAACGGTTAATCCCCTGCTGTGCTAAAGCATTTTGCCTAGTTCCTAACATGAATTGGCCTGGCTTTAATTTCCAGCCAGTGCTTCTTGGTTTGAATTTCCCTGCCACAGTAAGTGGCTCTTTAGCAACCCATCTTTTCTTTCTATGAATGCCTTTGCTGGCTGTAATAAAAATCACTTCCCAATACGGGCATCACCTACACTCCACACGCTTTGCTTTTCACATGGGGAAGATACCCCTGCACAGGCTGCAGACCCAGCACAGACCCAGCTCTGGGTAAAACATGTGCCAGGTGCTGAGACCTCTCCAATGAAAGGTTTTGGCTCCAGTTGCTCAACTAAACTCAGTGCTGATGTCTCGTGCTCTCTTCTTTCTCTTATTTTGCCAAGGACCTCACAAGCCTTTTGTTCACTGACTTTATTGTGCACAGATGTACAGTGCTTCATCAGTCCTACCTGGGCCGCCAAGCTCCGATATGAATAACCAGATATCACTTAAATGCAGATGTTCAGAAAACTGGAGAAAGTCAGAATGGAAAAGAGGAGAAATGCAGTTTGGAGCTGGGGGAAGAAACTGCAGCACAGGCATCTCCACATTAAAAACAGTGAATTGGTCAAATGAATCCATCGAAGAAGGTCAACGCGGGCAGGATTTTCCATTTGGGAGAACAAAAGGAGATAGGTGAATGGGGGGAGCAGGCTGGAGATGCGCAGTGGGAGCTATGGTTGTGGTCTTTTGTGCTGGTGCCGTGTCCCCCGGGCCTCGTGTCCCAGCGCCCTGCGTCTCCCAGGACGCATTCCTCTCCACAGTTTTCATTCAGCAATGACAATGCTGCCCTTTCAAAAGACCCCACCCTTCCAAAACTTATATTTTGGCAATTTTAAAAATGCAAATTACTTTTTAAACAAACAAAAACCCCAAAACATTTTGTTTTAATTTTTGCAAACAATAATTCAGGGGAGGGGGGAAGGGAAAAGGGAGGATAGAAGAACCCAGGGGCTGAAAGTAATCTCTAAATTTTACTTGAATTTATGAATAGTCTCATTCTCCTTAAAATTGTCCCTTTCCCAGATAAGTTTTTTTGCCAGAAAATTGCTAGCTCAGCCTGAGCCATTATTTCTCATCTGCAGGAACAAGCCTCGCGTGCATTGTCCCAGCCACTGAGAAGGGCACCCTGCCTATGCCCATCTGTGGAGGGGCTTTGCTCCCAGTGCACCCCTGCAGATTTCTTCAGGGATATTATTTTTGAGGTCCATAATGGTCAAGCAAACAGACAAGTCAAAGAGAGGGGACAGTGGAGAGACCTGAGACCGGAGACCTATCTACTTGCTGGACTGGGAGGTAAAGAGAAATGCAGACAGTGGGAAGGTGTCCCTGGTCCCCTACAGCATCATGTCCCTTCAAGCCTGCTGCCAGCTGGTTTGAGGTTTTGGAGCAGAACTTGGAGGTGCTGGATGAGCTCCTGCACTGCTGCACACCACCAGACCCCTCTGGTCCAGCACAGGCTGCGGTGTGTTGGGCTGCAGGGCTGTGCCCACTGAGTGATCCCGGTGGATGTCCCCTGGGGGGCATGGATGCTGCCTGACCCGGGGAGGGGCTTTCTGTCCGTGCTTGCTGTGTCAAAATGGCAAAGCATGGATGAACACCAGCAGCGGCAGCGGCAAAGTCCTGTACAGTACAGCCTCTGCATGCAGCCCCAGGAGCTTGGAGCTGTAGGGACTGAGCAGCCAGATCCATCTCTGCTTGCAGGGCAGGCGGCCCCATGCCATCCCGTGTGGCTTGCTGCCACCCACCACAGACCCAGTTGGCCAACACTAAACAAAAACGTTTGCTCAGGAAAATTCATTTGCGTGCGCTGTTAAGTCTGAGTAAGGAGGAGGATCGGAAATTGGTTTGGTTTGCTCAAGCTAATCCACTGAGGGGGAAATCCATCGGGGTATTGTGGCTGCAAGGGGGAGACACAGGGTCTGCGCCAGGCCCCAGGTTTCCCTGACAGTCAGAGCAAAAAGATGGAGAAAAGTGTGTGGACACACCACAAAATATGCAGCTATGGCTGGTATCACCCATGAAACAGGAGCCACAAACCTGTCTTACAGCAAAAGTAAATGTGCACTGGTGGTGTGGGAAGGAAAGTCCCATCCTTGCTGATGCATCCCAGAGACCCCCACTGCTGGAGCTGAAGGCTTTCTGGGCAGCGCCTTACACTCTGACCTGCTCCCTGCGAGGCCAGATCCCTCTCACCCCTCTCCATCCATGAGAAACACCCCTAAGAGAAAGGAAAGACCAAACTGCAAATGTAGGTGAAGCAAGAGAGAGATCCTGTGGAGAAACATGCTGAGAAAATCTTCCCGGTGGCATAAAAAGGGGTTGTTGAACAGAAAGCTTTTCCATGCATGAAAAACCTGAGGAATGGTATTCTGCGAAAAAAGCTGTAGACAAGATGGCATCATAGTGACCCAAGACCTCCCTGGGGATGCTGCACGCTCCAAG